AACGATTATAATATCTTCGTTACTTACTTTTCTCTGTAAAGACAAAATACATGCATATGTACATACATACATACATAAATGCATATATACATAAATACGTACATACAAACATATATAAATATGCATGTTATGTGTGTACACATGTCTGAATATAACTCTAAAGTATAATTAATTTCATAATCTATGCTTATGTATGTAATAAATTTTATTTGTCGTTTTAAATGCTGCCCTAATATAATACTTTACATATATATATGCATATGTACATACAATTATTAACATATTTTCGTACATAATCTATTGACATACATTCCCACATTTTTATGCACAAAATTGCATGTGTTGTATAGTACACTAGGAGCGCTCGCTCGTCGCTCATTCGTCTTTCCTAGAAGAGTGAGTATGCAGACAGCTACTCGCCTCGCACTGCAAGCGAGGCAACACGCAACAGCCTCGCTCGTTTAATTGGAGCGCGAGCCTCGCCTCATTGCTGCTACGAGTACGAGCTACGAGCGCCTCGTTGTCTGCGAGGCATTGAGTAGGAGTTTGCTCGCTCGCTCGCTCGAACTCCGAGTTTTTGCCCACCCTGGCCGCAACTGAACCACTTCACACTTTTGATTATATGGTGAACAAAGACATTTTCTCTTTTATCAATGAATACCTCAATATCAAAAGAACTGGGGAATGGAATACTTTCCAGGACAACTTCACACATGTTGTTCCTACCGGTAGTAAAACAAACTACCCAACCGCATGCCGGACCTATGATATTACTACTTTCATCCGCCTCCATATAACACACAAACTTATAACATATTCACATATTTTAAATGGTTTGAGGTAACCTCCTTGCCAATACCTCTCTTCGACATCAGTAACTGCTAAACATCTCCTAGACGACTGCACGCAATTTGCTTCCACCTGGAAAGAGTTATTCGATAATCAAGTTTCTTCGAAATTGCTGAGAATTCCTTCATCGGAAAATCTGGGAAATCGTAATCAATTAAATCAGACCTAAGGAAAGGGATTTGAATTCTCATATATATTTTTACTTGTTTAAAAGACTTGTATATAATTATCTTGTGTATTTTATTCATTTATTTAATAACTCACATTTTTAATGTAGTATTAATTAATGTATCAGTAGTATATAGTATTTTTTCCTTTCAACCAATTCTCTAACAATTTAACTTTTCTAGAAAAATTAATTTTATTAGAGCAGCGAGCCGTAAGCCCTGGCAGCTAGTGCTCCTTTCCTTCAAATTGTAAAATAATTATTTCATTATTATTATAATAATTTCATTATTATTTTTCATTTAATAAATCAAATAAATAAAATACTATTTGTGGGCTTTCACGAGGGTCCGGGTCGGGTGCTAATATAGACGGTACTTGCAATTTTTTATTTTGTTCGATTTTTCTTAATCACGAAAAGGCATCTGTGAAGTGCACAACGAAATAAATCTTAAAAAAAAAACAAAGGGTCGTTTGGCGCAATATCGTATGTGTTTTAGTTTGAAAAAAAGAGGAAATGGTTTATTTTTTCTCTCTGTGTATTTACGTAGTAGTAAAACAACAACAAAGTATCAATTATTTTATTACATTTTATTTTAACAATTACAATTACCACACTACACATTTTTTATTTTGGTTCATTTTGCTATTCGCTTTACAATTAAAGGCATCAGCAAATTCGAAAGTATTCGAAAGTGTTCCAATGACGCGATATGGCGACGGCGCATGAGCATCTTTTTCCATTTGCAAAATACTCGTCTCATTGGTAGTACTGGAACACCATACCTGTGGTTAGAAAAATCATTAAACAAATATAAGTTATGATACCAAGTTATTAATAAAAATTGAAAAAAAAACATCTATGTATATACATAGTTCGTAAAATGCTGGAAATCGAGGAAAAATGTAATCTCACAAATTTTAGACGATTCAGTGCCAATTCTTAAAGCATTTCTCTCCTGTGCGCTAAAAGTTCTTTATGGACATAAGACAACGCTCATTGATGGATACGTCTTGAACTTACTTGCGCGAATGATACGAAAAATAGTTGTTTGTGCGTCAGGTTTAATCCAGGTAACTTCAAAATATCGGCATCCTTGGTTGCTTCAGATTTCAAAAAGGCGTGGTAAGCCGCTTTCAGACCTCCATTATCAGCAATGTTTTCACCTTTAATGCAAACATTTTTGTAAGTATGTAGTTTAACATATATGTACATATTATCGAAAGACTCTTTGGAATAAAAAAAAAGATAAATCATTAGTGGTATTCAAAAACCGTAAAAAATAAAGTTTGGAAGGTAATTCTCTAGTGTTTTCCATCCAAATCTTTTGGCCCAGGGAAGAGGTAAGAGAAGCGAATCTTCAACAGAAAGAAACAGATGTAGAAAGACGAGCTTCAGATGCTGGCGGGAAGGGGTAATACCCAAAAATTCTTTCAGAAAATAAGGCAGCAATCAGATGGTGTCAAAACTGCGGCTGAAGATGAAAACGAGGTAACAGATGTTCAGAGCACACATAATATAATAAATAAAATTATAGTTTAAAAAACTAAAACCTCGCTATTATA